CCAGTTCTGGATGCTATGAAAGTCTGTCAGGATGAATTTAAGAACTTGCTATTCCTCAGCAAAAAAAGATGAGGAATAATCTTCAGTGTAAACATGTTGGGTCTTCTCTTTAGTTGTGTAAACATTTGGGTACCTTATAGAATCATAGAATTTAGGGGTTGGAATGGAGTTTAGGGATCATCCAGCCCCAACCCTCTGCCCTGGGCAGGGACACCTCCCACCAGAGCAGGTTGCTCAAGGCTCATCCAACCTAGAATGAAACACTGCCAGGGTTGGGGCAGCCACAGCCTCCCTGGGCAACCTGGGCCAGTGTCTCACCACCCTCACAGCAAAAACTTTTTTCTCACATCTAACCTAGACTTTCCCTCCTTCAGTTTGAACCCATTACCCCTAGTCCTATCACTGCAGTTCCCAACACAGAGTCCCTCTCCAGCCCCTTGTAGGCCCTTCAGGTAGTGCAAAGCTGCACTGAGATCTCCACACAACCTTCTCTTCTCCAGGCTGAGCAGCCCCAACTCTCTCAGCCTGTCCTCCTAGGGAAGGTGCTCCAGTCTCTGCTCAGCTCTGTGGCCTCCTCTGGCCTTGCCCCAACAGTTCCATGTCCTTCTGATGCTGAGGACACGAGAGCTGTGTGCAGTATTCCAGGTGGGTCTCACCAGAGCAGAGTAGAGGGGAAGAATCACCTCTTTTGCCCTGCTGTCCACACTCCTGTGGGTGCAGCCCAGGATTCCATTGGTTTCTGGGCTGAGCTCACACTGCAGCTCATGATGAGCTTCTCATCCACTGTCACTCCCAAGTCTCTCTCCTCTCTGCTGGTTTCAATTCCTTCACCACCCAACCTGTGCCTGTTCCTGGGATTGCCATGGCCCAAGTGTAGGGCCTAGCACTTCACTTGGTTAAACTTCCTGAGGTTTGCGTTGTTCCCCCTCTCAAGCCTGTCCAGGTCCCTCTGGATGACCCATCCCTTCCCTCCAGCTGGGACTGCAAATACAGGCTGAGACCTCTTCGGGTTTCTCTTTGTTTCATTGAGGAGATTTTCCTGATAGTGGACATTGTAGCTGGGAATATTTTGATTTTACTTGCTTGGAGGTAATGAAAAATGACACAGTTGATGCTTTAGACTTGAATGAGTTTATCTGGGAACACCACAGATCCATCAGATTGTGTAGCTTGGAGACAGTAATAAAGATAAAACAAGTGGCAAGTAATCATTGCCCTGAAAAATAGCAAAAAGAAAATGTTTAGGCTTTGATAGAGTAATAAATTTCCAATATCCAGAAATAAGGGCTGAAAATGACATATCACTTCATTCCTTTTCATAGAGGATTGTTCGCCAGTTTCTGATTTCTCTGGGTTCTTGATTAATGTAGGATAACATGTGTTGTGGCCATCAAAGCCCCAAGCTAATATTTCTTAGCACTTCTCAGTGTGTTGCTGTTGTCTGGGAATTAAAAGCTGCTTTTGCCTTAATTAACATCCGCAGGTGTTTTTCAAGCACAACAGAAATGGCTGTTTGGAAGTAAACAAAAGAGGGAATTCCTCTGGATTTAGTCTTCAATTAGTCCTCTGGTTACTGTGGCTGAGGTGGGTCATGCTGTGCAGGATTGTGGCAGAAATCCGTGTGGTAATAGTAGCAGTTTTCTCTTGGTCTCAATTAAAAAATGGATCTGAAAAGGACAGACTTCTTTGTGTGCAGTGAAGTCTTATCCTTCCTTTTTTTTTGGAGTGTGTTTTTGTATTTTGTGTTGGGTTTGTGCTCAGGTTGAAGAGATCTGGTTTAGGTGAGATGTCCCACATTACTTTGATTAAAGCAACTTCAGGAATTAAACAGTCGAAAATTTATCTTGTATGAAGCTAAACATGAGAATGTGATAACAAAACCACCCAAATTCTTATCATGCCTGAGACCCATAAATCTTCAGTGCTCCATAAATCCTTGGTGGTTTAGTGTTTCAGGATTTACCAGAAGTACAAGTATATAAATTTTCTTCACAGCTTTAACTCAAGAGTGTTGATTTCCTCAACCACAGTGAGGAAAGGAATCATTGCTTTTCGTGTGATTTTGTGCTCTAAACCAGCTAAGAACATGAACTCCTGTGACCTGTTGGCCCAGGCTGTAACTGGAGGTGGTTCTTGATGCCTGATGTGTTTCCCAGTAGCACCAGACACCTGATCTCCTCATTAAATCAGCCACTCTGCACTTCTTGAAACAGTATTTCAGAATTACCGAGATGGATTTTATTCAGACTATCAATTGTGTAGGCAAATATACAACCAGGAGCTTTCTCTGCTGTCTCAGCACCTTTTTTTGGCACATTCTGTGTGTGAATGATCAGTGGCTGCTAACTGCAGTTCTCCACTCAGACATGAGAATCATTACCTCAAGCCTTTCTATCTATTGTAATTAAAAATGGCACTTTAAGCAGTCTGTTCCCATGAAATTCTTTTACTGGTGTTCTCCCCTGACAAGTTGTGCTGTTGAACTCGTGTATCTATTATAAATTACAGATGTGCATCTATCTATCTATTTTTTTCCACTCTTGCCTAGCTAATATAATTTATTACTGTAGATTTAGCTGATGTTTGCCTTTATTCAGCAGCAGGACATGCAGAATGCCAGGAAAATGAATCTGTAGTGCCGAGGCAAAAAGCTGCTGTGGGCTGGTGCACGCAAATGTTTGAGATCAGTGTGGATCTGCCTCGTGTTTGTTTCATTAAGGTGCTCTGAGCACCCAATTATGCAACTCAAATAAATGAAAATTGCTTCAAAATCCTGCTTATTTTGTTCAAACTCTGCTGAATGTAAAGCAGGTGAGATGAGTGGTTAGGAGTTCTTTTGGTGGAGGAAAGTTGTCCTGAATGGAAGTTCAGTGGAGGCTTTAGGAAGTTAACTAGTTATAGGTTAGAGGTGGAACAATGAAACCTCATGAAGGTGATAAGAGCACTGGAGCACCTTCCCTACGAGGACAGGCTGAGAGAGTTGGGGCTGCTCAGCCTGGAGAAGAGAAGGTTGTGTGGAGAGCTCAGAGCAACCTGCCAGGAGCTGAAGGGGCTCCAGGGAAGCTGCAGAGGGACTCTGTGTTAGGAGCTGCAGGGACAGGACAAGGAGCAATGGGGAGAAATGGAAAGAGGGAAATTGAGATGAGATATGAGGCAGAAGTTTTTGCTGTGAGGGTGGTGAGACACTGGCCCAGGTTGCCCAGGGAGGCTGTGGCTGCCCCAACCCTGGCAGTGTTTCATTCCAGGTTGGATGAGCCTTGAGCAACCTGCTCTGGTGGGAGGTGTCCCTGCCCAGGGCAGGGGTTGGGGCTGGATGTTCTCTGAGCTCCATTCCAACCCCTAAATTCTATGATTCTATGATCTTGTGTGGGTGCTGTGAGTCACTGTCCCTGGAGGGGTTTAAGGAGTTGGACAAGACCTCTGAGAAAATCAAGTCCAACCCATGACCTACCACCACCATGGGAACTAGACCATGGCACTAAGTGTCATATCCAGTCTCTCTGTTGCCAAGAGTTACACGTAACATCTAATTCTGAGTGGGTTTTTCGTGATTTTTATGGAGTTTTACATGTGATCCCTGGTAGGATTTTTGTGGTATTGTATATGTAAAACATATTTCATGTCCTCTAACTCCTCTGCTGGGTGCAACATGCATAAAGAAGAGACAATTTCAAGCGAAAAACAGTTGCAGGAAGTAAAATGCAGCAAGGATGAGGAAGGAGCTTCCTTCAGACTCAGGAGACACAAAGTGCTTTCTCTGTCTCTCACCAGAAAAAGCTGCTGAGACTTCTATTTTGACACTTTTTAGACAAAACATGATTTCTCCAATGGAAGAGACAACCAGCATGTTGTGACTGTGCCATTGATTGTATGAAGGATTTGTTCTATCAATCCTGCTGGAATAATTTGGGGGACCTTGGGAAATCACTTAATGGAATTTGGTCCATGTCTGCATAATCTGAGTTTCTTGCTGGAGTAATTGAAGATGTGGCTTAATAAACTTTTATAAAGATTCCCAGTTGGTTGCTGCCTTTCAGGGGCTTGGAGCTGAGCACAGAAGTAATACAGCTTGTAATTGTCTTTTTTTTCCCTCCCCACCTCACTTAAATCTGTTCCCTGGGGAAGAATCTAATGTACTGTAATGCTGGTACCTTTTACCAAGTGACCCTACTCATTAGGATTTGTTCTCCAGAGCTCCCTTGGTGACACATAAATGCACTGAGAATACTTAAGCTTCCTCTCCATCACTCTTGGAAAAAAAATAAATCTCTTTGAATCCCAGTGTTCCATAGCTCCATTACCAGGCTGAGTTCCCTCACACTGACTCCGTGCTCAATGTCACAACACACATGTGCAACAGATGAGTTTTACTTGAAAAACAATTTGTATCTCTGTATTTTCATGAAGATTGGATCTGGTTTGCTTGTCTCAAGTCCTGCAGTGACAATTTCAGATGTATTTATGGCTTGTAACAGAGAAATACTGAGAATTTCTGAGCCTGGAGTTGCCTTAATTAATTATTTTCAGCTCATCCTCTCCAGTCCCTGGGAAAGGTTTGTTAGGGTTGGTCAATCTTCTTGCAGTTGGTAAACAGAGGCAGGAGTTGGTTTGGGTAGAAAAGCTTTCAGCTGGAAATTGAGTGCACACTGGTTGGTGGGAGAAAAGTATTCCTGGAGAAAATGGTTCCTTAAAACCTGGAAAAAACCAAACAAGCCACAGAGCTCCGTGTGTGATTTTGGTCCTTAAAATACATGTTCATCAGGCTCTTGAATTAGTTGTGTTTTAGATGATTTAATGCCTAGTGAGATTCAGGCTGGTGGCTTTTCTGTGTTCTGATTTTGAAACTCTAATCTGAAATAAACTCCTGGAATTTTAGTGGACTTTTCTATTTAGGTGCCTTAAGAAGCCAACGATAATTTATTTCCCTGGCTCTGCATCCTTTTTAAACTACCCTTGGCAAGTGAACCTTCAGTCTCAATTGCTCTCTCCACCTTGTGTAGGTTGAAACAAGAACAAATGTATGTTCGGGATGAGTTTGGGAAACTTCTGGAGCGGGAAAGGATCTCCTCGAATGAGCACCTGACGCGAGCGATCCTGCGGGAGCGCGCGGCCACGGAGGAGGAGAGGCAGAAGGCTCAGCGCTTCGTAAGTCCACAGACTCTCACAACCCTCAGAGTTTATAAGCAGCTGTGTCCTCAGGCTTGTTTCAGACTGTTGGGAGGAGAGGAAAGCAGATCTCTGTCTTATTTCTTCTGTCTTTGTTACTAGCTAGTCAAACGTCCCTGGCATAAGAACAGATGGTTGTAAGATTGCCTTGCTGAAGGAATTATTGAATCACAGACTGGTTTGGGTTAGAAGGGACCTTGAATGTCGTCTCATTCCACCTCCTGCCATGGGCAGGTATAACTTCCCCAGCCCAGGTTGCTCCAAGCCCCATCCAGCCTAACCTGGAGCACTGCTAGGGATGGGATATGTGCAACCTCCCTGAACAACCTGTGCCAGTGTCTCACCACCCTTCCAGCCAGGAATTCCTTCCCAATATCCCACCTGTCCCTGCCCTCTGGCAGTTTGAAGCCATTCCCTGTGTCCTGTCCCTCCAGGCCTTGTCCCAAGTCCCTCTCAGCTCTCCTGGAGCCCCTTGAAGCACTGGAAGGGGCTCTGAGGTCTCCCTGGAGCTTTTCTTCTCCAGGTGAACACCCCCAGCTCTCCCATTCTGGCTCCAGGGCAGAGCTGCTCCAGCCCTTGGAGCATCTCCGTGGCCCAAAGATCATCAAGTCCAACCCTTAACCTATTACTGCTGGAACCCCTAAACCAGATCCTCCAGTGCCACATCCAGACACCTCTCAAACACCTCCAGGGATGTGACTCCACCACCTCCCTGGGCAATTCCTCATCCCAGTGCCTGAACACCCTCACCAGGAAGAAATTCTTCCTAATACCTCATCTAATATTAAATGTCTTTTTTTTTCAGAGAGTGGAAGAGTAACCTGACAGGTCTGTTGACTAAATGTGATTATTCTATATTAGGAAGTTACAGAATGCAAGAGAACATTTATAGAAATTAATTTCTTAGCATTTAAATGAAGTCCATAATATTTCTGGGCTAGAAATCTGACTATAATAAAATTTTAAAAAAATTAATGCAAGAGAAAGTGTCATTTCTGCTGATTGTCTCTAAGCTTGGAGCCAACTCAGTGCGAAATTCTGTATCAAAGGATCATATTTGATTCAATCTGATGGATAAAAACTTCCTCACAAGGAAGTTGTAACATATGGTTGGCTGTTTTCCTCAGAAAACTGACACTATACATTTGAGTCCTTTATAAATGTCTGGCAGATTTATAACTCCTCATATATATGTGACATCTATATCTATATCTATCACATATATAAAAAACCCTCTTATAACTTGTTATCTATAGTGGCTGTTTGCTATTTGGTGCCTGTGTTGACTCTTCTTTGTGGCAATAATGATTCTCTGAGGTTGGAATATGCCTTATAAATACATCTATACTGCAGTATAAATAGTAAACAAATTGGTATTTCCAAGGAAAAAAAGTGTTTAAAAACCTTATGTGAGCATTGAGTTGGATTAGTTATGTCAGCAACTATGTAAATATTTGTTTAGGCCTCTGAATCTGGAACAAAATCCAAGGGTTTTAAGGTTTTTTGGTCTGTAATTAATCAATCACTTCAATCAGCAATTGCTTCATCTATGCTGTGTAGGTAAAAATCTCTTCATGTTATTTTTCCCTATCCCAATTTCAAACCAAACCAATTTCACCTCAGGATTAGGATCTTTTCCAGTCACCTCTGTGGTCATGTTACTGTTGAAGAATAATTTCAGGGGTTAATGGATGTTTAGTGTTTTGCCACATTAAGATACTGGAACAAAGGAATATGGAGAGGAATTATGACCAAGGTACAGCCTTAGTTCTGTGCCTTAAACCCTCTGGATTCTTCATCTTGTGTGGCCTCGAGCTAATGAGGAGCTGAAGGTTTATATGGGGACAATTATTTGCATAATTACCAGGGGTTTGCATCTTCCCTTTGCTGCTGTAGTTAGCTCTGTGCTTCTGAGAAGCACAGGATGCTGTTGTTGTCAGCCAGACTCTTGGGAAGTGTTCCAGGCCAGGCTGGAAGGGCTTGGAGCAGCCTGGGATAGGGGAGGGTGTCCCTGGTGTGTCATCTCAGGTTTGACCACCTTACTGTTCCCTTCTGTGAAAACTTATCTGTTAGTTCTCTGGTGGAAATTTGTTACTGCTGCAAATTTGTCACTTCCACTGTAGCGTTCTTTCTTTGAAGTGTAGAAGAGCATCATAGTAAGTAGGTTTTGTCTGTGCCTTCCCTTAAAACGGGTTGAAGTGTTAAAATCCTGATTAATTCTCACCTTCCTTGCAAATCCTTCTGTGAGTCACCTGCTTTATTTTCCTGTAGCTGGTCAGTTTTTATTCCCTTGGCTTCTTTGCTTGTGCTGCCTGTGGATTTGTTTGATGTATCCAAGCTGAATTTAGGAGTCTGGAGCACAAGGATTTAGGAATCTGTCTCTCTGTGTACCCTTTGTCACGCTGAATTCCGTTCTAGGAATTTAGTTCTAGGAAACTGCTACAGCAGGTTTGTATTTTATGTGGCTTAGATTTGATTTGTCAGACTCTTCTTGGAGAAAAAAAAAATACTCTTCCTGAAATGTCAGCAGCGAAATAAATCCTTTTGCTGCTGCTAAACTGTTTATCTAGCGCAAAGGGAAAGAAATTATAGTTAGAAAGGAAGAGTTTTAGTTTGAATTTATAAAGTTTCTAATTCAGGTTTAATAAATAGACATAAAATGTTGAGGTTGAAGTCATATTTCTCGTTCTCAAACAATTATAGCAACATCTGCTGCTTGTAGTTTCAGAAGGGAGAAATGTGTAACTGTTAAGATCCCAAAGTTAGCACTGAGTCCTCATACAAATGGAAAACAGGGATAAAATGAGCCGCTGCCAACAGCCTACACAGCACTCAATTAAGTTGGGTTAGGGAAAGCACCTTCAGTACAAGTTGGACTGGCAAGTGGCAGCTCCTGCAGAATCATGTTTGGGGGAGACCTAGAGGTTTGCAAACCTCAGTAATTCTGATGTTTGCACCAGCCAAGGTAGAAATTACAATTTAGAGTGGAATTTCCAGGCCGTGATCAAACCCCTCAAAATCCCTTGTGGAGTCACTGTGAGGATTTAATCAACTGTTGATGCTTAACTCAGCAAAAATCAAGGCAGGTGCTTCAGTAATGCCTTTAGAGGGCATGGACTCGGAGCAGTTTAGGCAAGGTGGAACTTTCCTAGTCCCACAGCACTGGGGTCTGGTCTAAAAGCAATGCCAGGGAGACTCAGGGCATGGAATGGCTGCTGAGGTCTTGCATCTCCTCTGGCTTCTCCCCCATCTCTGGCTCTGGGAATCTGCTGTCTCCATTAAGTGGGATGAGGAGTGAGGAACTGGCACAGGGATTTATTCCTGGAGGTTTTTGCTGCATACCTCAAACCTGTGGCTGGTTGAGTTGAGCACAGGTTTGTTGAGTGGCTTTAACTGTGGTGGCCTTGCCATAAATAGTTTATTGATGTTCCATCACTTGAGTCATTATGAGAGTCAGGGTGAGACAGGGAGAATATGGAGTAGCAGATCAATAGTTCTCCCGAGTGCTGAGGACCTGTTGTATTTCCATCTCCTCATAATGACCTGGTGTTTGCTGTGAATGTGTTTGCTTGACTGTCTGGACTGAAAGGAGTTGTCATTAGGACCCTCTATGTTAGAAAATGGTTTTATTGAGCTGCCAACGACATTAAAGTCTCATTTCCCTTTGAAGAGGCACAGAAATATTGTTGTGTTCATGTGCTGTAACCAGGACATTAAAATTTGATTATTGCTATCATTAGAAATCTGTATCCATACTAATATAATTACAGCTATTTCCCCATGTGTTGTTCCAGGCTTTCACAAAGCACCTGTTAGAGAGAGAAATCGGTTGGTGCTGAGGCATCTTGTTCTTCTGGAAATTATTTTCTGCACAAGAAAGTTGATTAATACATTCCTTGTTCAAAAAAAAATCAATTTGGCAGAGGTATCCTTGTATTAAAAAGCATTTTTGCACTTTAGGTCACTGTGGCAATCAGATTATCAGATATTTTTTTACATCTCCAATAGCATTTTGCTAGGAAAGTTCTTTTCCTCTCCGAGCACTGAAATCAATAGACAAAACACATCCCTGGCCATATCAGAACTGAAGTGTGTTGAGTTAATGTTGGGAGTCAATTTGACCTATTGTCACAATTGAATCCAAATGGATAAAATCAAGTGTCTAACTCCTCTGTGTCTGAACTGGTTTGGTGTTTTCCCCATCATCCCTGGGTGACTGGTCCCAGTCCCTACCTGTGTGTGCTACGCAGTGACCTTCACTTCTGGCCTGCAGTTGGTTTCCCTGTCCCCAATTCATTAGCTTTGTCAAGAGGACAGTCCCTATTTTCCATAAAGAGATTATACCCTGACCCTTCCTGCTCCTTCCAACCACTCCCATGCTAACCATATTTTAAGGATGACTTCACTAGGAAATACCAGAGGGGGAAGAATTACTAAATGAGTTAAGGCATTAGCTCTCGGGAGAAAAGTCTGTTTACAAACCTGCAGTATTTATTACATACCTCATTTAGCTCATTCATCATTTTAATAGAAAAATGAATCTTTTTTTTTTTAGATGATTCTGAAATATTTTGAGGTAAGCTACATAGCCCGAGGCACAGCATGATTGGTTCCTGCAGGGAGGGACTTTTGGAGAAGCACAGTGTGAGCAGAGCCTGTAACTCAGCACTGATGGTAGGCAAAACCTTAAGGGCTCCTGTTTGAACGTGAGATTTAAGGGTTGGGAGCCACAGGGCATGAAACTGAACCGAGAGGCAGTTTTATTCTTCAGTTTCATAATGTACAAAGTGGAAATTTTGCATGAAACCTCTTGAGAATTTGAGATTTGGAGAGTTTCACTCCTAGGATTTCGTCTGGGTGTTTGCACGTGGGGTTTTTTTGCCACGTGCTGCTGTTCTTAGGGCTCAGGAGTAGCAGTTGCAGCAAACAGTTTTTTTGCTGCTTGTTTTGGAGTACTGAGGGCTGTGATCTCTGTGTGT